ATAGGAAAGGCCACCAGTGCAACCATTGTTCTGTATATGTTTATAATAAAAGAGAATAAAGGAACAAACATGAAGTTCTTGCCTTGAAATCGAGTATTTACCTGCATAAGATTCACTTTCTGGTGCTCCAGCGACAGTTTAGTTTAAGTTACGTTCCTGTTTGACTTCCCTATGATTTTGGCCGTTACAAACTCTGAAATGACGGACCAGTAAAATACTTAAAAATAAGCACCTAATAGAACCAATGCATGTGGTGTTACAGGTTAAATAAGTGATATGTACATATAACTTACATTTGTACTCAATAATAGTAAAGACTAGCAGGTAAAAAAACACCTGAAAAGCAACATATTTTGTACTGGAGATTTGTAATTAGGTGCAAAAGAAGTCTAAGTAAAAACGACTACGCAAAAGTAAGTAATATACACGAAGAAGAACCAGAAGTGCCTTTTATTTAAAATGCACTGTGTGAAAATTGCGACCTTGACATGACAAGGTAAACTACAAATGATATATATTTGGGCAACCCACCCTTCTGATAGGATATTGTAAAAAAAAAGCATGTGGTTTGTGTTTCTACAGTAATTTAGGGTTCAGGGTTTCATCTCTTTGAAACAGATCATTCACAACACGCCGACACACGTCCTTTCAGCTGTGACACACGTAGTCTGTGTCATCTTCCCACTTTATTTCTTCTTTTGTTTGAAATATATAATTGCAAAAGTACTTCCAGCTGTGACACACCGTCAGTGTCGTTATAAAAGATGAACCAGACACCTCGCCATGAGGAAGCACTCTTCACATACTGTAGAGAGATGATTGTAACAGGAGTACTCATAATTCCAAGTCTTCAGACGAAAAAAAGACGTCTTTGAGTGGGAAAAAAGCACCTGGAGAGCATTTGAAGTTCATCTTTTTATGTGTCCTGGAGAATTTAAGCCCGCGACACGACCACATGAATTTATCCAGAGTATTGTGAAGGATCCTCAAAGACTTAGAGACTTTAAACACAGACGCTGCAGACGTTAGAGCTTCTGAAAGGAAACTCAAGAGGGAAGTTTAGAGGATGGAGTCGTCCTCTACTGAGCAAGAAGACACAGTATTTACCCATAATGCAACATACTGTGTTTAAACTGTAAAAACTCAAAATCTTGCCAAGTATATTTGTCTAATTTCAAGTCAGAATATGTCTTTAGACTCGATATCAGACTGAATTGGTAACAATGCAGTGAGATATAGGGTTTTGTTTTTAGACAATGCATCTTCAAGACTCTTGAAAACATCTTATTTTATATCTCAAATGAAACAAGTTTTTTAAGCTGCTGTGGTTTTTGTAAAAGATGGTTCATCTTGTTTTAACAAATACATGTTACTTGGCTTATTTTGTAACACAATATTTCCTGATTCTGGTAAAATATAGTTCAAAATAAGTTTTCCAAGCTAATTACAAGATCTGATTTATTTGACTATCCCGTCTCATTTCAAGAAACTTGTTCTATTGACAGATTTGTTTACCTTTTACAAGCGAAAACACAGTACATTTGTTCCAGTGTAGAGAGAAGCATGAATCAGAGATAGGCACACATGGTAACATATTAACCCCTGAGAACGATGTGTATTAAACACTAATTAGTCCTCACAATAGAGTGGAACGAAGACATAATATAGTGTGTTGTGGCCAGGGCCGGTTTTTGGCCTAGGGCGCCATATCTGGTGGGGCGCTGCGCTGGTAGCTCTGGGAGGGAAAAAAACATTTTTGACCGTTGGTGCTCATCCTAATTTTCGGCCTTGACAACATTCATAATGAAGTCAAGGTAACACCCTTTTCACCCCGGTTACACTTTTCATTTGCCCTGTACGATGGGCGCTGTAAGTGATGAAAGTGGGGGATGTTGGCTTATCAGGCGCCCGCAGCTCACAGCCAAAGTGCGAGTGAGCGTGGGAGCGAGCGAGGGAGAGAGGGAGAGAGAGAGAGAGAGGGCACACCGGTACCGGCGCTGTTGTTATTAGCATCTGGTGCTAGCTGCGCTAACGGATATAAGAAGAAGATGTTTCTACAACAAGGAGAGCTCTCCTGTCAGACTGAGAGGCTCAGAGAGGTAAAGGACTCTCTGAGGGTTTAGATAGTTCACTTTAGTCTAAGTTATCTCAGTGGGTCTCAAACGGTTTGATCACAATTTATGTAAACACATATTTCCAAGGCACTCCTTTGTAATTATTGGGATAAACAGGTTTGAAATCATTTCAATGTATACTATAGGACAGTAAACCAAACATATCGTTTAAAACTGGAGAGATAAAAGAATATGCATAAATAAATGTTACCGGCCCTGGTTGTGTCCCATTTACTGTAATCTAATTATATTATTAAAGGCCATCAAACAGCTGGATTTGGTCCGACCTTTCCTCCGTGTTCCTCGTGTCCACGTATTATAATCCTGATAGAAGCAATGCATCCTGGGAGGTGAACTGTTACCTGATGTCGCCCTCTCTACAGTGACAGATGTTGCAGGAGATGTACTCTCCAACAGGTCAGAGTGAGAGCTGGAGGAAACTCAGCCTCATTTATCAACGGCATGCAAACAGAGGAAGCTGT